GTATTGCTGTAATCACGGGAGGTTTTTAAAAGGACATTTTGTAAGGTTATAGTACTTTTACCACGGAGTTTTACCTAACCTAGGAGTTTTGGGAGTATTCGAATTGGTTCCCGTTTGAAAAAGGTATTTTATTAGGTATAGCCGAATTAATTCTCGTTTGTGTATAGGTAAAATAGTGACAATTTAAATTTTTAACACAATTTATCTACACTATTAAATATCAAAATCCAGCTGGCCAGTGCATAGAGAGAAAAAACAAAATTTTAAAATCTATATGTATGACATATAAACACAATTATTATATCGATAAGATAAAGTATAGAAATATAATACACTATAGATTACTAGAGACTAGCAAATTATCGATATTAATACATTGATTGAAACTTTAAACAGCATTCGGACATTAAATTATATTAAATTTCGAAGGAAACTTATTAGCAAACATGAAAGAAGTAACAAATGTTTGTAAAATAATTTTCATACAATTATTGTATGAATAACTATATTAATAAAAATATTACAAGAATTGAATATTTAAAGAAAATTAGCTTCAAATTTACAAATCAATTGTTTTAAATTGTATTTATTATGTTTTATTATTTGTATTTAAAGTGATGAAAAGTTGACTTTCAAATCAACGATTTAAAATTGTAGGTATTTTATCATATTTTTTTTAACACACACTAACATACATTTTTAAATATGCCTTGGCAGTCCTAAGCCTGTAAAATTGAGAAAGAAAATAATTGAAGTTTTATCCTTTTCAATATATTACCGTTAAATTATTATTTTCACATTTCAATGATTATAAGATTATAAGATTATACGGGTACTTACTCAGGTGATTTTGAAAATTATATATTGTATATATATTGGGAGATATTGTATATATATAATTCTGCTCGAAAATTTAAGCTAGTAAATATTACCGTTGGAAAATAAAATCATAACAGCACGTAAGGCGATATGTAAATATTATTTTTTTTTTTTTTGTAGACACGATCAACGAATATTAATGAGAATAATTAACTGTCTAACGTTCCACGGAAAGGTAATTAAAATCGTTCAGATTGCATTGTACGACGGCGGTTAATTGGTCGACAAATCTGCAATCAGTAAAAAGTTCAAAAGAATAGTTGTTACTCGTCCAACATCTTCTCTCCTCCGTCCTCTCGAAAAATTTGACCATTGGGCTTCAGGGTAAATTATATTGAAAAATAGTGTTTCGATATAAGGTCTACCGTGGTCTATGACAGTATGAAAATCACTTCGTACGGAACGGTCGATGAGCAAACATAACGTACACACATCAATGCTTGCAGTCTTATAAACACGTGTTGTAAAGTAAAAACCGATTTTGACCGATCGAAAACGCAAGTTTTCGCGTAAATGATCTGGTGAAAACAATGCAACGCTATTGTCGCTTCCGACTCGTGCATGATTTTATAATTTGTGCACCTTCGTTGTTGCTCCGCAGGCGAGAGGAAAATCGAAGAGTGAAATAAATCACTATTAATAATTTGTTATTTATGGTCGAGATAAGGATATTTTAATTCATAGACATATTATCTCATGGACGAGAAAGATAAATAAACTCAATTCAACGTTGAGTGAGAGAGTTAGACCGACACTCGAGGATATAATATTATCAACGAAAAAAAAACTCGCATTGCGTTCATAGAACTGTTATGGATAATAGATAATAAATAATAGGTTTATGATTCTAAACACAGTCTTGGAAGGTAAGACTTCTAGGACCGTGATTCTTATGATGGGAAATTTCAAGTACATGGAGTAATTAACAGTGTTATTGTTTTTTTTTTACCCATGATATGTTCGACCATATGTTTGTCTCTCGTATTCAATATCTTATTTGGTTCTATGGACTGGGGATGAGGAAAGCGGCGTCCGTGAGATAATAGGTTCATGTTTTAATTGATCTAACGTCGAACATTTTTATTTCAATTGTGCACATTTCCGGTGAATATGTTCATTTCGTCGCAGCACGGTTAACGTATTATTATTAAAATAATATTACTGTGTGATGGGTTTAAAAGTTTGTGTCTCATTGATTAATTCAAAATACGATTAAGTAAGTTTGTTTGAAAAATATATAAACTTTCTGGCCGGACCGCAAAATACACTTACCACGTCCATAAATTAATCCTAACGTTCTTCCACCGCCACGTTGTAATTAATTAATTGTTTGTTTATTTTTGTTGTACCGTTATTAAATTTAAGACTACAAATGGTTTTCCGCTTTACGTATTATAAAATCGAAATAAAATATTCTAATAAAACATAACATGCGTAAATGATATAGCGGTTTTAAGAAGGAAAATAAAACATGAAAATTTTACCGCAAAATTTTTCTTCAATACAAAATTAAAAATAATTCACAGTTCACTACAGGGGCGTATCCAAGGGGAGAGAGGGTTTCGAGTCCGGACTTCCCTATTGAAATTTCTACATACTCAATGGTTTAATAGTAAATAGTTCATAGTGTATTTTAATTTTCCATTATCTTCAATATAAAAAGTTTATAGATTATATAATAAATCTATAATGTATAAACCGTGTTTAATTTATACTGCTTTTTAAATATTATTTATTATTGTTAATTAAATAATGTATTCTTTTAAAACATTTTACTACCAAATAATAATTGATTTCAAATTAAAGTAAACCTTTGTGAAAAATATGTGTGATGTGTGTATAACTTTTGTGACTATTACTATAATTATTAACAATAATTTGTTGCTATTGAATTAAACTATAATTATAATTAGAGAACAGATAAAATAAAAATTTGGGACCCTCCCCCATGAAAAATTCCTGGGTACGCTCCTGGTTCATTACCTACAGCTCATGTTCCTGTTTTTCATTTGAGTAAATAAATAAAAATACAAGTGCCAAATTGAATTAAATATTTGTTTAATAAATATATTTAAAACCTACTGCATATGAAAATAGTATTAATAATAACAACACAAATAGTTCTTATAGGTATTAAAATTATACTTTCAGTCTGAATCCTGTACAAAAAAAACAACAAAAAATTATATTAGTAATAGTACCTTTTAATTATTTTTTAAAAATTTTAAAAACAATTAAGATAGGTAACTTAATTTAACAAATATCCAAGTAGAAAACATAAGGTTGGTAAGTAGTCAAATAACAAATTTCAAATTTCCATTTTTTCATTTTGGCAAATTTGTTGATTGTTTCATCAATGGATACTAGGGTGGTCCTTAACTATAGAGGTCAATTTTTTTTTTTTGAAAATTGATGACGAGTACCCCAAATTTTGTTCTATGTATTAAAACAATAATTGTGACAAAGTTTGGGCGTGATATGTTTACCCCTTCCCGTGCCTCAAAGGGGTTGAATTTTTATTAATTGGGGATGAATTACCATTTTTTGCATTTACTTTCTTAAATATTGATGTTACGCAAAAAATTATAAGTACTATTATTGTAACTATATGTATTTACTAAATAAAAGTTTCTCATAAATATGTTGTGAAGTTGATGGTTATCCGTTAATTTAAAAAAAAAACTGGTCAAAGTTAATGTCTTAGGAAATTTCATAATTTTTATTTTTTTCTCTTATCTCTTAAATTTTAAAGTTATTCAAAAATCGTTCATACATTTTGTTATAGAACGTACTATGCTATATTAATAAGGTTTCTTGACGATTTTTGAAACATAATCATTTTTTATATAAAATAGAAAAATAACATTTTTATACTATTATTATTTAATTTTTAACATTTTACATTAAAAAAAGAAGAAAAAAAGGATAGAAATATAGTAACTTTACTATTTTATTGCATCTTTGGTCAACATATTTTTACTATGGCTTGGATATTTTTTACGGTATTCTTGTACTACCTAAAAAAATAAATCTTAAGTGACACTAGTTATTTTAGTAAATTATTAACATATAACTTACCTTCAATACATACTGCTTTTGATTTTCATTTTTCGTAAATTTGGTATTAAAATCTTCCATCAATTTGACTCCACGTTCGGCTGCATCATTTATGACGCTCAAATGGTGTAAAATATTCTTGGCCTTTTTATAACTATCAATATTTGGCCAATTTTCCGGATTTTGTTGCAAGAAATCCATGCTTAATTTGAAACTTTGGAATATATTTTTCGATTTATGCGTCAACAATTCAAGTGGTAAGTCCTGTTTTAGAAATTGTGATACATCGCCAATTTTTAATACATATTTTTTTTTGTATATCTGTGGTAAATTCATCGTCCTCAAGCTCGTCATTTTCTAGTAGTTTTTTAGCCATTTGTTTTTTTATTTGATTATCAATCCTGTCATCAAATAACGAAAAACAAGCGGTTTCTTCTCCAAAATACCATAAGTGATTAATAAATTTTTTCATAGCGATCTCAGCCACTTGCTTATCATCAGATTTATAGTCTTCAAGTTTTTTTAAAAAAAGTACATCGTTATAAGGGGCTTCAATAGCATTAGGAGACCTAAACCAAAACTCGATATAGCATTTTACAATAAAACAACAAATAGTTGTTAACGAAGAAATTTCTGCTTTCGTAATTTTAAATTGTTCTTGAAAAATGTATATTTTCAAACAATATATTCCCTTGCACATCCATCTAGCTAGACGATAAGCTCCTGGACGTCTAAAATGAATACCTTTAGGTGGTACCCCACCCAAAAAAATTATTACCAATTCCAAAAATTCTTTGTAATCATCCCTTGGTAGATTTTGGCTTAAGGTATCTTTACAAAATATTATAACATCATTGACTACTTTATGCAATATTTTTTTGACCCCAATATCACTTACCCAAGTACTAAATTTAGTTGTATCTATTTGATTCCAGTTATTTTTAAAACGTTTAAAAATTGGAATATCGGGACCGGACATTATTGTAAGTTTTGAGTATGAGAAAATTGATTGCAAAATAATTTCAAATATGTGATGCAAACGCTTGCTCTTTTTCCAACATATCTCAATCCTTTAATGTGTCATACACTGCAGAAGAAATTTCCTTTCCGGTACCAGATGACAAATGTGGTACTCCAAGAAGTTGTTCTACGTTTGGTGCTGTTATAATAACTGGTAATCTATCTACATTTTCTGTTCCAATCAAATTAGGAAGTATTTTTGAGTCCCAGTGAACAACTACAGAATTTAAGTTTAATTGATGGAACGCTGTTTTAATTTCGGAAGATATTTGGTAACGAAAACTTTCACGAGCTCTCTTAATTGAAGAGCGACTTATCGCATAGTCTTTTACATCTACATTAAATACCTCGGCACATGCTATTAATAAGTGAACTGCATCCCTGTCACTAACCTTACATTTGTCTAAAACTGATGCTAAACGACTATTCATAATTTCTTTCCTACCTCGTTTATTTTTCACTGGCATTGTAATACTTTCACAAATTTCGGAATCTTTAGAGTTAAGCACATCACGTTCATCATCGCTTGATATACTCTCCACAACATCAACACTGTTAGTTGGGCTGAAAAAAAAAATAATAGATATAGTCAATTTTATATTGTATATTAGGTAAATTATTGTTAAAAATCATTAGATAATTTTTTTTTTTTTTTTAATGACAAAATTAATTTACCCGGTTCCATAATCGATGTTTGTTTGCTTGAACAATTCTCTCCTTTGCTCTCGCTCAGATCTTCGTTCTTCAACTGCACATAATTTTTTGTCCACACCTATCATATACCCAACACGACCTTCTTGTCTTTGTAAAGTTAGAAACTGCCTGTCTTCTTCAATTTTAATTATATTGAAAGCATCTTTGTGGGCAATATCAAACAAATTATTTAATGAGTTTTGAAATTTTTTTTCATTGTACTGTTGTGTTGCAGACTTTCTTGTTTTATTTTTATCTAAGCTTCGCCAACTTTCATATACATTTTTTATTTTTCGAACTACATCACAATGATGTTGAGTAGGTATTCTTGCCTTTTTCCAAAACAATAAGCATTCATCAGCAACAAGGCCCGAACTATCATTTAAATTTAAATTTACAACACGCATGTTATGAAATAATACCCGAAGGCAGTCTCCATTGGATGGTAATTTATTTCCAGTAATTTGATTAACCATATTACCTAAAAGGAAAATATACTGATGAGGCATTTTTAAATCAAACGTAAAAAAGAAAAAAAAGAAACGTATAACACTTTGTGTAGAAAAGTCGCACTAACTTATGACACAATTGTGAACACTGGACGTCTAAACAAACCGACAGTTTGACGGATAATGGCAATTTAATATTATGTTCTATTAATCACTTTTTCAATTTATTATGAAATACTATTTGGATATGGCTCGTAGATAAAAATGCGATAAGTCAAAGATATAATGTGTTTGTGGTTTCATAGTCTAAAAATACACAACTAATAGACTAAATATTATGTTATCGGAGGACAAATATCAATGTACTGATTATCGTCATCAAAAATATCGATTTATTGTAAAAACAAAATTAAAATTATTTATTAACAAAAAGTAATAAAATTAGGGCGAATCGTTAAACATTCCGGTTTCTTGTTAACTGACGGTAAACCATCAACCTTACAACATAATTATGAGAAATTTTTATTTAGTAAATATATATAGCTACAACAATAGTTCTTAGAGATTTTTGCATAACATTAATATTGCAGAAATTAGAGGTCAAAAACTAAAAACTTATGAAATTTCCTAAGACATTAACTTTGACCAGTTTTTTTTAAATTAACGGATAACCATCAACCTCACAACATATTTATGAGAAACTTTTATTTAGTAAATACATATAGCTACAATAATAGTACTTAAAGTTTTTTGCGTAACATCAATATTTAAGAGAGTAAATGCAAAAAATGGTAATTCATCCCCAATTAATAAAAATTCAACCCCTTTGAGGCACGGGAAGGGGTAAACTTGTCACGCTCAAACTTTGTCATAGTTATTGTTTTAATACATAGAACAAAATTTGGGGTACTCCTCATCAAATTTTTCGATTCAAAAAATAAGGACCACCCTAATGGATACAATAATATTTTTATGTACATGCACCAAAGTCAAACCTGTTAGTCTATGCCCGCCTATTCTTGATCTTAACCATGTTTTCAATTTAAAAATATATTTTTGGCCAATATTTGCAATTTATAGAATATGGAAACAAATGCTATCAGTTATTATGATTATTATTTGGGTTAGGGGCTTATAGCTCTATAAAATACACAAATATGCATGCATTTGTGCACAAAAAAATGACTAAATACCTTTGCACAACAAAAAGTACCAGATATTATGTTGTAAAAAAAAAAAAATAGGCGAGTGAAACTATTAAGGACTTATATAGCCCTAATAAATAGAAAAATATACAATATGCATAAGTGCACCAAAAATAACTAACTAGTAAATATGTGGTAAAAAAAAAATTTACTTTAATACTTTAAATTACTTAATATTATCTGATAAATACCTCGGTTATGGTTGTAAATGTCTATAACCAATATCCGTGGAAGATAATACCACTATTCGTTCCACAACCAAAAATGTTATGATATAAGAAGATAAACAAAAATTGATAATCATGACCAAATTGACATATTATTTAGTTTATTATCATATTATAATGATAGACTAGTAATTTACACGTATATTCCTAATTATTTATACATTACATTTTTTAAATAAATCAATGTATTATATTAAAAAAAAAGACGAGCCATGGGGGGGGGGGTTGAATGCCCCCTTCGCTCACCCCTCAAATACGTCCTTGTACACGGTGATTTTATAATCATTCTCATACTATTTATAATAATATGCTTGAAAATTAGTCATATTTTTTTCAAATTCTCATTTACGGACAATGTATATTTACTATAAGATAATACTACACAGATTATATACATAATTATATACAATAATACATAGATTTTTCGTATAGCTTAAAATAATATCCTGAGGCAGCATCAAAGTTTGTTTTTCAGATGGACAAAAGACTTAGTTTGTTTACATTTTCGATGTAACATAGTCAAATACAATGATATTGTTATAAGCTTATGGTAATTTAATGTAATTTTTCATTTTATTTAAATATTATTCACTACTATTTCGATAAAACACAGATATAAAGTAAATGCTTATCACGATACACTTATTATGGAAAAGAAAAATACCAGTACACCAGTTATTTTATACTTTTCATGCGTAATGTTAAATTTGAATAATTGAAAAGTATTGGTCCAAATTGACTATGGTACATAAACTAATCTAGAAAAATATAACTGAATAATCAATGTCGCAAAAAAAAAAAAAAAAACATGACGGTGCTCCTGTTTTTAAATCAAAAGTTAAAATTTCCACATATAAATATAATATATATTTTAATATGTTAACTAACAGCGCATATAAATATATTCCTAATTGGAAAATAAAGTCTTACGGATTTCTATTAGTTAGAATTTGAAATAATGCGCAGTTTAAGCATGAAAGAGGGGTGAGCAAACTTAAAAAATCGTTCAGCAAAAAAAATTATATTATTATACGAAAAATTGATTCGAACACACTCGCAACGTAGTCCTGGACCGTTTCCAAGATAACCACTGTAGAATATGATCCTTTGTGCGGCTGCTGCTATTACAAGACGGCATATCCTGTTCCGAGAATGGTTAGATTAAGTTTTCAAACTACTTTAAAAGTTACGATACCAGAGAGCTTTATACATATAATAACGTGACACGTGCGCGCCCTCGTATATTCCCGCTTCCGTATGTATTGCAGTGTTTTTATAATATTACATATTGTTCGTTCGCTCACGCAGAAACGCATGATACATTTTTAATATATTAAATATCCGTATCACGAATTGTGTTTGTGTGTCTTTTGTGAATTGATATGCATTTGTACGTACGTACACGTATAGTTTTCCAACGAACCATCGCAGCCAAAACCAAATGCGAATCGTCTTGCTATGCCGGGACAGGATTTAAAATGTGCTACGCAAAATTCATCGGCAAAGCTCGTTTTCTCCGCCGACTTTTGTACTTTTTAATAAATAAAACAAAAACAATTTGATTATTTCGAAACGGGAGTACGAACACATGCGTTTAAACCAATCACGTAATTTAGATGGAGTGGTATGAGCAATCACCCCTCCCCCTAAATATCGTATTGTAGTAACCACGAATCAAGATACACTGTATATACCACTTTATTGCACATTATTCAAGCCGTAATCATTTTGAATAAGGTTAACTACCCTATAAAATAAGTACCTATTTACGTTATTTGAACGATTATAACATTCACCGTATTCCTCGAACTTAAATTGATCTGAACGTACGTTGAAGAGTAAGAAAAAAAAAACACTTCTAAATCCGACCGCGAATGCGGTTAACAAACCGTTGAAATTATCTTGCCGTCTTATTACCAGGTAGTCGAAACGGATTAAAATATCGCTGTTATGGAGCCTGTAAACATTTCTCGCGGCTCTCAGGAAACGGGTCTAATAACCGGTGGTGCGGTAAACAACGTTTGCCGAACGCAGCCCTGGCAATCTTTCAGGAGTTTGAGTGTCCCTCGGATTATGTATTTACGAACATATATTGTTTGTGTAATCCAGTTAATTAGTTGATCGTAAGCATTGAAAAATTATACGATACGCATACATGGAAAACAGGCAGATAACTGAAAGGAATTAAGTAAAATCTTATAGAATAACTATATACATGTATACTATGTAGTAGGAGGGTTGTTCACATACTATGCATTGGGTTCGAAATATGTTTGCCACGCCACTGCTAATAACGAGTAAGCTTAATGACACTGACCCGGGATCGGGCTCGCTGGACGTCGCAAGATGTTCTCGATCACATTGTCCTCTGGAGTGTGCCACGAACATGAAAGAACACAAAAATGACCAAAGAAAAAACAAACAGTTAAGGTCTTAAACATTTGTTCGGAGGCGCGTGTCGTATTAAAAAAAAAAAAAAAAAACATTAATAAAATCGTCACGCGACGTAGGAGACAAGTACATTCGGTGTCACGATTAGAACCAAATAAATCACGTCCAAGTGACCATCGTTCGTTTGCTGGCGTTCTCTTGGATCCCATTGGCGCGTTGAAGTTGTGGTGACCGAGAGCTGGCGGTGCTGTTTCCGTTTTTCGCGGCGGTACCGTCACACTTTATATCGGACACGCAACTTTCAATCGATGAGAAAAAGAAAAAAACCGAAATAAAAATCAGAGTTGTCCTCTGAAAACCATCGTAACGCTTTGCACGCACTCCCTGCTGGGGTCCTTGCCTCAGGTCGATTTCCGCAACGTTATTGTTTGCAACGGATGTTATATGTGTACGATGCGCAGTCCAAAGCGCTTTCGAACTGGGCCGTATTGAATTCCTGGTGACGCTCCTGGCGAATCACTGTATTTGCCCTCCTCCCCCACAATGGGAAATTTGAATTTTTTTATAAGAAATCATTTGAAATATATAAAGCGTGTATAAAAACATAGTATACAAGTTAATAATTACTAATAATAATAGTTAGGGCTCGGAAGTTGTAGAAATTGCATATTGTTCTGTATGATCACAATTTATAGCAGGCCTAGTTAGAAATTCGAAGTATACAATTGCGAGTTAGAAAATTTAAAATTGAAAATGAATATACTGTATATTTGGCCAATTTTTTAGTTAAAAAAGTGCATATTTCATTGATTTTATATGCATAATAAACATACTCAAAAAAATTCAAAATTATTAAGGAAGGTATTTATTGTTATCGCTATAGTCATCTTCTAATCGAATAATTGTCATTCATTTGAATTAGAAAATCTTAAGAAAGTATTTAGAATGCAATAACTAAACAGGTATTAGAAAATATGTATTTTTTTCGTAACTTAAAAAATACTGAAAAAATATTTTAAATTTTATTTTCAGCTCAATAAGATGTCAAATTGCCAACTAGTTATAATTTTTTTTTAGTCATAAATAGTTTTTACGTATATTATTAATTTATTAATAACATCTAATGTATTTTATTTTTGGAATTCAGAATAATTTTTTAGCATATTTAACATTTTTAATGCATACATTGCAATTTTTCCGTGCA